CACACAGCAACTTACAAGCAGACTCGTTCGAACACACCCCACGGCCAGTTTCTTCGGCCCCCTGCCCCCCAGCCAGCTCCCCACCCTCCTCTTCCCTGGGATGCTCGCAGAAGGAGCCGGACAAAACTCGATTCTGCGGGGCCCGAATCCGGGCAGAGCAGCGTTCCTGGGAGGGACTCATTTACTCCTGGAGCGAGGAGACAGGGGTGGAGAGAAGGAAACCCAGTCCTGTCGCCCCGAGGACGCCCCTGAGAGCTGCCCTGGGGGGCGGGGCGGGGAGGACCTTAGAAGCTGTCCAGGAGGCCAAACCCTCCCAGGCGCTGGAGGGTGCAAGAGGACGCCTGCACTGGGCAGGAGAGCTTGGGAGGGGTGGGGCTCTAGTTCTTGGCAGAGAAACCCAGGAAAGCTCGAAGCCTCCAGGTCCCGCGTGGGAAAGCTGGCTGGAGATGGGGGCCGCCAAATTCAGCTTCCTTCCAGGCAGCCCCACTGCACTCTGTCCCCTGAGGGCAGGGACCCTTGAGCTCACTCCGGAAAGTGTCCTGCGGTAGGGTGTCTGTGAGACCACCCTTCTCAACCTGGCCAGCATTATTCCCTCGGCCTGAGCTCCTTCTCACCCTCCCCCCACCCCTCCTACGCCATCCTAGCAGGTCCAGTCCTCTCTGCACCTTGAACCTGGAACATCGGAGCTCAGACGCTTCCGCTGGAGCCCCATAAAGAGATTCTGCCGGATTTTTTTTAAAGGGGGGGGCAATTCAGGGCACAAACCTAATAGGGTAATTGTTTCCGAGGCCATAGAGGAAGAGGTGGGTGCTGCGCAAGCCCTCTTCGTGGCCTCTCTGAGATCGGACAGCGAGGATCCGACCCCGAAAGACGTAGGGTGCGCTCCTAGGTGCCTCTCTTGGTTTTGCAACCTGCAGCCTGGCGTCGGAGGTTGGGCCTTCAGCCTACTGTACCCTAAAGGACTGGTCTGCCCGCCCTTTCATCCTTCCGCGTCCTTGGCGGGCGGGCTTTTCGTAGCCTTTGCAGGAGGCGGAAAGTCTCAACGCGCAATCTGAGCTTCTCTCATGAGCGCGGTGCCCGGAGCAGCCTGCTTTGGCGCACTCCCTGGGGACCCGATGGCCCGAGGAGAAGCGGGACCTGCTGTCCTGCTTTGGGCCGCGCTGGCGGAGCCCAGAGGTGAGCGAGGCGGTGGCCGGCTAGCACCATCCTCCTGGCTTTAGCAGCACCTGGAGGGTCGCCCTCTTTCCTGCGGCTTCCTCCGTGCGGGGGCTGGGCATACTCCGTGTCCGACACTCTCTCAATCATTCATTCCCCCTCCGAAATTTTTCATTAAATGTTCAGGCTCCTTTACTCACTGGTCATCTCCAGGGCCTGAGACACTTGCAAGCCTGGCCTTTGAAGCCTTTCCCTGGGGCAGTTTTGATTACCTTCCTCTCCCCCTGCCTCCCCCACCCACCATGGTCGGCCTGTCTTCTGGCTGTGTTCCCAGAGCTGTCTCAGAGCTTCGCATTTATTCCACATATATTTCTTGAGCATCTACTACGTGCTTTTCCGAGGGCTGGGGCTACCCTTGTGATGAAAACGAACCACAGTCCTCATCCTGGCAGAGCCGATGTTCCAGAAAATAACCAAAGAGAATATAAATGTAACTTGTCGGGAGATTGATTGTAAGGGTGCAGCTCAGGTCTGGCGAAGCTCGAAGGACTTAGGGGGAGAAGGGGTATTCAACCTTGGAGTGGGGTGGAGTGGGGCGGGGGCATTGCTATTTTGCTATTTCAGCAGAAAAGGCCTGGGCAGGTTCCGTAGAGCTAGATTCCTGCAGAGAAGGGAGGTAGGAAGGAGTGATTGCTGAAGAAAGGAAAAGGGTGAAGGGAGAAAGTGAAAAACACGTGTAGACAGAAAACACCTTACGGAGTTATTACTGCCAGTGATTGGAGCATTCTGAAGTCCTGGCGTACTCGGGCCGGGCCTGGGCGGCCAAACCTGCAGCGGTGCTCTGCCTGGGAAGAGGCAGCTTTTGGGTCCTCTTGGGGCTTGAATTCTCTCCAGATGTTTCCCACTGTCCTCTTTCTGAAGACACTTCATTCAGGCTCCTAAAGGGGTGACAGGGGACTGAATCTTCCCAGCAACAGACGGAGGCTTCCTTGGAGCCATCCCTCACCCCACCTCTGGGAGTAAGGCAGATGTCGCCGTTGAGGGTCAGGAGATTGAGATTTCCCTGTCGCCTCCCTTCCCACGTCTGTGGCTCAAAAATCCAGCAGGAGCGTGGGAGTCTTCCCCTCAGTGCCCATTGTCTGAAAAGTGCATTATTATTTGAAATAAAATGAAGGCCCAACTTCTTGGTATCCAGACCCCCCAGTCACCGGGACCTGTCATTTCCATTCCCCAAACTGGAGAAAAGTCCTTCCAGGCAGGAGAAAAGTTGGGCAGAGTAGAAATGCGCTGCTCCACAGGGCGGGGCTGATGTGCGTGTCCCTCCTGAATGATTCCCAGCAGCTGCCACCACTCTGAGGGGAAGGGGAAAGGAAGGACTCCTCCAGAGGAGCTCTAGACCCTAGTGAAACCAATCATCCTTCCCCAGCTAATGGCCTTGTTAGGTAAAGGCGAAAGAAACAAGCAGGACCATTCAGGAGAGAATGTCTTCACAAGGCTTCACGCGTTATTAATAGGGAGGCTTTGAAAACACCTTTCCCTGTGAAAGTCTGGGATCAAGGGAACCAGCAGATAACGTAGAGACAACAGCATGCAGCCCTGCAGTGGGGGCTTGAAAGGAGGCCGTGGCTTTCTCAGAATGGTAGCAGAAATACTTCTCAGCAAAAGGGAGCCATTCTTACTTGTCAGAAAACTACTGATAAAGTCTTACTAGATTCTGGAGCTACTTAGTGAGGGAGAAAAAAAGAAACAGTGTGTACCTGCAGCAGAGGTAAGAAGGCCCACGCGGAAAGGGAATCCCTGTAGCACCTCAGACCTACCTATGTTTTCTATCTCCAAAGCAGGCTGAAGAGGTTCTCAGAAAGCCCAGGCTGTCCTGTTACAATGAGATCATGAGAGTCATCCCTGTAATAGAAACCGATAATCAAAGTTCCCCCAAAACAAGGTCACATTTCCCGGTAGGGGAGGAGGCATGCATTCTCCTCCTCTGATTGGTGAGGTAGCCCCAGTTTCAGAAAGGAGCAAATGGTGTGGTTTCATTTGGGCAGGATGACCCAGGAAGGCAGGAGCTAGATCCTGGAGCATGGTGAACTCGGTGGACAGAATCGCAAGTCACTCCGGGAGGGAGAAATCAAAGAAGATTCCTGAGCTCAAAAAACAGGAAAGTACCCTAAAAATAGAAGTTTTCAGAGACAGACAGAAAGAGAAGAAAAGGAAAAGTCCTGGAAGAAAAGAGGATTGCTTGAAGACTGAAAAGGGGAGGGGGAGAGAGAATAATGAAATACTGAAGAAACATTATGACTAAGATATTGCTGAGTTAAAAAATCCTAATTGATGTTAGTCAAGGTGGGTTCATTGTAAACAACAAGAAATGACTTTTTCTAATTTGAAGGACACATTTGCACTGGGAAAAGTGGTCTGAATCTCCAATTTCACTGTTCCAGAATATGTGGTCATGGGGGAGATACTTATATACTAGGGGCTACCAGGATACAAAGAGCTGACTTAAGAATAAGTCATTTAGTTTGCTCCCAAGGTTTTAGAATTCATTTATGTTAAAAACAAGAAATAGAGATAGGACTTTGCCCACTCACACATTACAGAAGTGCAGGGTGATGGGAGAAAGGATGGATAAAATCAACACTTGGAACAAACGCTTTTAAGGTACCACTTATCAAAGTACCAGCGTAGGGAGGTCAGGCTTTTCTAGTGCCACCAACCTCTCCCCACCACTACAGGCTGCTAAGCCATCTCTCCATCACCTGTCCCAGGCTCCCTCCCAGGAATCAGACCACACTTTCCAGGAGACTTCTCAGAACATGCCCAGTGTCCTGGGGTTGACAGCATGAGTTCTCAGAAAGCCTGGCACTCCTTGGGCTAGAGGCTTGGGTTCCCCATCTTGGGAGAACTGGGGAAATTGTGTGGCAACAACAGCACTTAATCATACTGGCACATTATCATTGTATAATAATAGTAATAAAACATTATATAAGAGTAATAGCATATAGGTATTGAGCAGTTCATAGGTACTGGCATTATCCTCAGCCATTTACAAAGATTAATTTACCTACTGCTTTAAAAAACCTAGATTGTACCCAATTAAAATGAGAAAAAATAAAGGACCAGAGACATTACTTAACTTGCTCTAGGTCACACAGCTAGGAAGCAACAAAACTAAGATTTAAACTCCCCACAGTGTGGTGTTGCCACTCCTGTTCAGTTAGAAAGCCCTACAGGTTTCTAATGCTGGCATCGAACCCCAAAGGGATGGAATCTGGGAGCTGGTTAGATACTTTACCTCTCATTGTTTGCCCTGTTCTGGTTGTAAATAAATGTCAACAAAAGTTACCTTTAATGCCTCCGGGAGGCACTGATCTATCTTATCTCGATTGAAAATAATTTGGAAATTTACTCCCTTTCAGTTCCCTTTTTAAAACCTTCCAATGAAACAATCCCACTTTAAAATTTTTGCTTATTTTAAACACCCCGTTTTCTTACTCCCAGAGTTTATCGGTCTATATTTCCGTGCGGAGAAGAACCTGAGACACTTAGCATCATCCAGCCGCCCCTGCTTCGGGCCGGGCACGTGGCAGGCAGCTGGTGAGTATTGGCAGAAAGAATCCAAATCTTCCTGCCCCCTGCGGATCAGCGCTGTATTTGGAACGTGGCGTGGGCCGGGCTTCTTGAAGTCCTCCTAGGCCCCTAGCCGTGTGGCGAACCTCTTCTCCTTGCGGGCCGCCCCCGCGGGGAACTGCGAGGCATTTCCAAGAGGAAACCCGAAGATGCCTAAGGTATTTCCAAGCCCCCAACCCTTCGCGTCCACGTCCCGCTGACCCGCCCGCCCGACAATGGGAAGGTTTGTCAGGACACCTTTTGCGTATTTGAAAAGGCGTGGGGACAATGCGGAAGGCGGCGGGAGGCGGGAGAGGGTTTCGGAGCCCCGCGGGGCTGGGATTCGGGGAGAAGCCGGCTTGCGGACCAAAAATCAGCAGAGAAATGACGGGACAGACAAGCGACTCCGCGCCCCGCAGCCACCGCACTCGGTATCTCTTTCTTCTTAACCTACATATTTGGGGCTTCTCTGCTCCTTTTAAGAATAGATGTGGGGAATTCCCTGGCGGTCCAGTGGTTAGGACTCCGCGCTTTCACTGCGGGGACGGGTTGAGTCCCCAGTGGGGGAACTAAGATCCTGCAAGCCCCGCAGCGGGGCCAAAAGGAAGGGAGGGAGGGAGGGGGGAAGGAAGATAGATGCGAACCTAGAGCTATGGGGCGGGCGCTGGGAGGGCCCGTGGACACCCAAAGATGGTAAGGACACCACTGGATCATAGACCTTCAGACCCAGAAATCGGGACGTCACAGAATCCGGAGAGTTAGGGCTGAAGACCAGTTTCCATACAAAGACAAAACAAATAAACAAGCTAAACAGCGATGTCGAGTGGCTGAGTTTGCAAGGCACCGTGCCAGCTGGTTCCCCCGCGCGCGACGAATGGGCTGGTGACGGCGTCCTTGTGTCTTCGACTTCTCCCCGGCCTGCCCTTCGGGATCGCAAGCTTGGGGATTACTGGGCTGGGGTTTGGGGTCGGGGGCTGCGAAAGGGACACGCTTAAGTCGTTGTCGTTGGCCCAGTTGTGCGGGGACTAGCCTGTCGCCCCGGGCGGCCTCAAGTTCTCTCCAGCCCAGGAGACTGCGCGGGAGCGGGCACAGGCCAGCCCCAGGATGCGGATTCCACCCCGCCCGCCCCAGGAGCCTCCCCGGGGACCTGTCGCGGTGGCTGCCCTCGGCGGTCCCCGCGCCCGCACTTTCCCCCCCGATAGTCCTTGCGCTCAGCTACGAGCTACCTCGGGCGTCCGCGTTAAAACGCAGAGAAATCGAGGTAATCCCCTTCCTCCCATCGCTGGCCGCTGGGTCTCAGCGCAAATCCCTTTACACCTGGATCCAAGAGTGTGGAATTAATTTGTACGCTGAACGGCTACTCGGAAGGGTCTTTTGAAAGAATGTAATAACTCTTCTAGCGAATATCTTAAAACACTACTCTCTGCTCTGGATCTGCTCGCATGTCCACACCTGTTGGTGACCAGCAGCTTCCCCTTCAGTTGTCACGGGCGATGACACCCACAGCTGTCAACTGGCAAGGTTTTGTTAATTTAACCTCTAGACTTTCTCGGTTAGCCATATAATCCACCCTCAAGTCCCCACGTTGTCACTGAATTTTGACTTGGAAAGCACACCACTATTTTGAGGGACCGAGGGGAGCCCACGGAAAAGCCCTGTAATGTGCGGAGGCGCAGCCGTCATCCCCGCCACATTAGGAAAGATCACGAGCGCCCGCAATTAGGAGGCAAATATTTACCTAACTTTCCTGGGAATACAAAGTCAACAGTGTGCGTGTGTGTGTGTGTGTGTGTGTGTGTGTGTGTGGAGAGACAGAGGGAACAGTCCGAACAACAAATAGTTATCCAAATTATGGCCGTTTCCAAAATCCAAGCATTAGTCCACAATCTCCCATTTTCTAAGAAACCTGGCGGCGTTTAGTTCATTAAAGTGGGATTGGGGAGAACGTAGCATTTGAATAAACAACGTTGTGAAGTATAATGGCTTTCAAATCTTGCTGCTCAGTAGAATCACCTGGGGCGCCTTTTACAAACTGCCGCTGCACCTCCCCTCCCCACCCCCACCCATACTCCCAGACCAATTAAATAAATGTCTCGACCCGGAGGCGGGACGGGTGCTTCCGCGTTTTGTTTTGTTTTGTTTTGTTTCTTAAGCGCTCCAGGTTAATTCTAAACTGCAGCCAGAGTTGAGAACCTCTGCTAAGGCTCCAATCAGGAAATAAGTTTGCTGTGTGTGAATTTAATAAGAAATTGACTCTAGGGACAAATCTTTTCCTTGCAGAGTTCAGTCCCAAATTTTCTTCCAAGCAAAAAGTGTCTGCTTGACAACTTGAAGTTAATCCTTCCCCTCCCCACCCCACCCACCTCCCCAGCCCCAAGCTGCAAGTCAGGTGCAAATGCTCTCCACCTCCCAAGTTTGACTAGAAACTAGTTTTAAATGCACACACAGTAGACATATAAATCCTATCAAAGTATCATTTCCATGTGATAGAGAGTACTGTCATTGTGGTAAGGATAGCTGAGCCACTCAATTACTACCGTGGTTCTTGAAATAACTGCTGAAATAAAAGTGTTCTCTTCTTGCAGCGATTAAACACTTTCTCTCCCGTTTATTTCGGAAAGTGTGTTTGTAATACTAGGGGTTAGGAGAACTTTTTTGCACATCTTCTCTACCTTCTTTCTTCCTACTTCAGCACTACCCCCTCTTCCACCCCATGGAGATGTGGTATTTCTAAGCCAAAGATAATCCAATTTTACATGCAAAGACAATTTTTTCTAAAGGAAGTGTGCACATTCTTCCTGAGCTCCTAGGAATATTCTTGGAGATTGAACACCCTTACTTCCCTGAATGTATTTTATAATCAAGCATGATGGTGAATTTATCTCAGAAGCAAACTTGCCTCTCTTTGGCATGTTTTAGTTTTGTGTAAGAGAAAGGAAGCTGCAAGTTTGATCAATGGATAGAAACAATGCTAATGGTACGTATTACAAAGCTTTTCTTAAATGCACGATGAAAAGAGATCTAGCAAAAGATAGATAAACTCCCTCTCGTAATTTCTTCATTCACATAACTTGGAACCCAGCTCCGGCTACGGTCATTTCTAATACTCATTTCATAAATATTTACTGTAGTAAATATTTGATATTCCACAAACTTACGCTATAACATATACAATAAAAACGTATTGTTTCAAAGGAAGAAGTATGCTATTTACCTTTAACAGGGATGCAGTTCAATGCCCAGGACATGAAGGTAATCATCTTTGTATCATAACAGAAATTTAAAATACAAATATTAGCTAATGGGAATTAAATGATTAAAGAGGATGAGTTGGATCACAGATTAACAGGGGATTACTCAGCTACTGAGATGATAAATTTAGCAAGTCTGTGAAGGATAATTAAAGTGGCAAAGATTGAATAATTAGTAAAACAGGGAGTAACGCATAATGAGAAATTTAATAGCTCTTGCTCTCAATGTTGTGGGGAAATTTCACTGCATTGTAAGCTTATCCCAACTATGTAGGTGTTGTTGCCAGCTTTGGAGGGGATGGGGCAGAAGTGCTTATAAAGAAGGTAGCCAAGAGGATTCATACCTTGAAATCTTAAAATGCAGAAAATGATCGGAAATGGAGGCCAAATGTCTTTTAGTCTCTCCACTGTCTCCTGTCACTGACTATATTGCAGTTCGAGTTTTGCTGTAATAGAACTGATTTTCCTCATAACTCAAGGTGCTTTTTGGTATATTTTTTCACCTTTCAAAATTCCTTATGAAGTTGGGGGAAAGCAATTGTTTACCTAAGTCCCCCAGGGTCTCAGGAGTTATTGAGGGGAAGTGTGAGAAAAGGGAGCCAAGTCACTTAACATTCAGTCCAGGGTTTCCCATTAAGCCAAGTCAACAGACTAGTTATCTGCCACTTAGCATATGCCAAGAACTGGCTAAGGCTTTGTGGATAGAGTGGGTGACCAGACAAGGTTTCTGCCCTTGTTTTTACATTCTGGTTGCAGGAGATTGAGATAAAGCATATAACAAATAAATAAGAGCACTGCAGATAGTAACGTTAAGAAGAAAATAAAACTTCAGTAGATATTCCCTTGGGGATAGAGGGGTGAGGGCAAACCTCTCTGAGGAGGTGATATTAGACCCTTGCAAACCTGAATGAAAACAAAACTAAAGATCCACATAGGGCTTGTTTCCAAAGCATTTTCACCCATATACCCTCCTATGTATACAAATCCTTATGCCGACCCCAAAAGGAAAGCAGGGCTGATTCCTTTTGTTCCCATTTTGCAGATGAGAAGCCTGAGGCTCAAAGAGGTTAAATAACTTGCCAAGGTCCTTCCAAGAAAGGAGAGAGCCATTATTCAGACTCATATCTCCTGGTTGAGATTACTGGTCTTTAGAACACAAACCAAGGTTCTTTATGGATGTGGACACTGTTCACCAAAACATACTACATTTAGAGGCCACGTATTTAATCTATCAATCACCGACAAGATGAGTTTCGTTCACTGGAAATTTAGATTCTATAGAAGCCTCAAGATAATTCTAACCAGCAGTCTCAGAACCCAAGCAGAATCTGGACCACGGAAACCACGAGTCCTTGAGCAGGTGTTCAGGGCAGACAAAGTCGGGCTTTTTGCAGTGATTTTACTACTAGTTCATACTCATGAGCTGGAGATGTGCCCAGGGTTGAGTCAAGCTCTTCCCAGAAGATGAGAATTTCCATGAGAGAAAAGTACACTGTCACAGGAGCCCTCCAGACAATTCACTAGTCATTTAAACAATTTCTGCTAAATTCATGCTCTAAGATGCTGGTATACCAGGACTTTCCATGTGATGCAGGAACGGTGAAATCACATCTGCAAAATGGGGGAACAGCTGAATGCCAGAAAACCACTAGAAATTGGAAAAATGTTTTCCATCACCTCATCCTGCCACTCAATTCCTGATAAAGAAGTCAGAAATTAGCAATAAAACAAAGTTAGCCGAGAAAAAATAATCGCTCCATGTTCAGGTACTGAGCTACTAATTACATATATTTGATTTTAAACTATTCAAATTTCTCATTACAAGAGATTTACATCTGCAACCTATGAAAGAAGAAAAATGTGGCTTGTGTTGTGACTCAGGCAATTCAAAGATCTCTTTCTCATTTATGAGGAATAACTCAGTTTATGTCATTGTTGTACCTTCCTCTGTGGAACATAAATAAACTCTATGAGAAGCAAGCAGGTCCCCAGGTAACTTCAGACAAACTTCTAGGTTGCCAATTTAAGGGAATGAAATAACAAACACATGTGGGTGCCCACATGTACACATGGTTACATCCACAAAGCCAAGTTCTGTTACTAGCATGTACATTCTAGTAACTACACATATATGTGTAATTGCACTTGTACAACTAAACAGTTGTGAATACTAGCAGAATCTTGGCACTGAGGTAAACAAAGGATACAAGATTTAAATGAATACAGAAATAAAAATAACACAAGTTATTTGTTGGAGGTAAAAGTAAATTAAAACCAATCTCTGAAGTGTGAGTCTTAGTATTAGGAAACTGAAAACATTTTGCAGAAACTGAGAACAAAATCTGACAAAAGAGTTTAGTTTTAGGGGAACGTTATAGTAGTGGATTGGGTAAGTCTTTAAAATACAACAGATCTCACTTGGCCTTCAGGAGTTCCGTTAAACCCTAGAAGTAATTTCATGAAATGCCTTTGCAGTGTACTCCCACATGTGAGTTATTTCTCTCTCAGCCCTATTCAAAATGTGAAATTATTGATGAGGATGTGTATTTCAGGAAAAGAAGTGCCACCAAAATAACTCGGAGCAATTTCCCCATGAAATAAGTTTCATGAAAACAGATTTTTTCTATAAATGCTTCTTGTTTTTATTGACAGTGCAGACACAAAACATACCATATTGCAATTCCTAAATTGCAGCCATACCACTTATCAATGGCCCATAAATTACTTCACTCTATGATAGATACAAATGCTCCATTCAAGTTCGGTTAATAGGGTCAAGATACCATGCAGACAGCTTGCATAAATACATGAGGAATAACAGCATACCCTCAGTAGCTTCTGTGATTTTTAGGCATGAAAACTTTGTCTTATTCCAAATTTCAAAAGATGGAATAAAGAATGTTTTCATATAAAATACATTTGGAACAATTCAGGGTTTTTTCCTTTAAAAAACATCTAATCCACCTGCAACATACACTCCCAATTCATCTTTTTAGTTACAAAATCGGATAGGTACGTATTCTTTTTCATCTAATGTGATCAGATGTGAACATTTCAGTGATTTCTAATAATATCAAACAGCTGAATTCAAAATAATATTTTTCTGCTAAGTATAATATATATTTGTAATCAAAGGATGAAAGACCTGTCAGTTGATTTGTCAGTTTCGTTTTTTGAGCAGTATTTTCTATTTGATCAGATAATTGAAAGTCAGTTGTTTCACAGTATAAAACCTTGAATCAATTACCAACACGCCTTTACTGTCGCCCGTACTTTTGAAATGTATTTGGACTAGAGGTACGGGAGAAATATTACTGCTTATCAAACAACTTTTCCAGAAATCTTAATGCACAAAATTTCCAGATTTATATATTCTAAAATAAATTATTTTAAAAATGAAATTAAGAAAAAAGGCAGGGGAAGCCTACAGTTTCTATTCCGCGTGAATAGCTTTCAATATCTTCCAGGTGGGGGCAACAGTAAGTCAGCTTTGAGAAGAGAAGAGAGAACGGGCTCGTTAAGCTCCCTGAGCCCAGTTACAGAAGATGAAATGACTTCCTGGTAGCAACACCGTGAATAAAACAATCACAAGTTTCCAGGAGATGGAACTTCTGGACTCTGTCGGGCCGCTAGCAGACGGATCCACCGCCCTGTGCGCGCCACCCCTGCTGTGCTCCGAAGACTCCAGCGGCAGATGTGAACGCGCACGCGCGCTGAGCACCTGCCCAATCGCGCACTTAACGCGGACTGTTGGTCGGTGCAGCCTCCCAACTCAGGCTAGCGCCGTGCCTCCGGGGGTTGAACGTCACTCTCAGCGCTCCGGCTCACTCACTCGCCAGGGCCTCCAGGAAGCAGGGAAACCTTTCACGTTTACATCTCATTCATGCTTCCTCTGGACAGTTCAGGTCCATTCACAACTGCTGCAGACGTGAGCTAGCACCTATACCCTTAAAGAAACTCTCAAGTCCCAGCAGCCAGAAAACCAGCTTCCAGGCGGGGCAGCGGGCATCCCACTGCTCCTTCCTCCTCTTCTTGCAAATCCTCGGACCCCAGGGAGGGATGGCTGTGCACTCTGGCGAGGATGAGGGTGGTGCATGAAGCGGAAGTTGACCTTGCACAGTCCAGGGAGATGGGACTGCCACCAGCATCCCCGCCTCCTCGGTTTCCCTTTCTGGCCCAGCGCGGAAGCGTGGACCTGAAAGGCCAGAGACGCGGAAAACCGAAGCTCTGCCGTGACCGGGCGGTGAGGGGGTGAGCGCCCGGGGGCCGCCCTCCGCAGAGGGCGGAGAAGCTCAAGCGCACCGGGCTAGAGGCTCCCTCCTCTCGGACCGCGCTAGAGGTATGGGAGGGAGGCCAGGCGTGTGGCCCCACTACATGTCGCTCCTCCGCGC